CGACGAATGGGACGAGACCTGGTTGAGCTGCACTAGAGAAGGCAACGAGTGTTATCACTATGCCGGAGACACGCTAGCTTTCTCAAGGCAGACGAACTTAGAGCGGTTACAATCATCCGGGTTTAAATCGCGCTCATTATTGACGCAATATTTACACTGAAGCTCGCAGGCGACTGTGGTAAGGGGCATGACATTTCCCGACCAGGCGCCGACTCCGGTCCATCTCGAGATTTTATCTGTAGAAGATAACCTGCTTAATAATTATGCACACCTGAATATAAGGCATTTTTCACTTCCAGCCTTCATGAACAATAGGCTAATATATAGGGTATAAGTGATTCAATACAAGATTAATAGTAGTTATTAAGATTGATGTTGTTTGGAATTGGTAAAATGTGCTTGGAAAAAAATATAATCAGAATATCAACTTAGCATGATAATTATGCATGCACTGTATTTTGCCTCTTCCGCTGTCATCAGCAATGCAAGGAATGTTGTGATTGGTTGTCAAGGCAGCCAATCAGAATTTATCAGTCTCGTCTCTGATTGGCTGGAATTATGGCATATTGTAATGCTGGGTTGTGTTGAGCAAGCGAGCTGTCGTCATGTAGAGACTAGAGAGCACTGAGGGCGGGCATCAAGGGAGCAAGCTAGTGAAACGGTGCATGCGCAAAAGAGAAGGTCTGCACACATACAAAATATGATCTTTCGCACGCAGAATTGTGGCAGAGATCTAACCCTATACAAGTATGCCTTTTAAGAAACGTGAATAACATATATTTTCAGAGAGCGCAAAGCAAAAAGAAAACAAATGTTGGGGAAATGGCAAAGCAGCCCAATCTCCTGTTGCCACAGTAACACTTGTGTGGAGGACCATAAAGACGGCCCACCTCTCCAGCACATAAACTGTGAATGAGACTACATCCTTATGAACAGAAGCAGCCAGAGGAAGGGAGCAAACACTACTCTGGGGACGGATCTTTATGAGCACTGATGGAAGAGCGTGGGAAGTGGAGAGATCTGTATCTCGCAGTACACGGATCCCAAGGCTGGGCTTTCCCTGCACTCTGTCTGCTCTGAAATCAACTGACAGAGTGTTGAAGTAATCAGAGCAGACCCGGCACTGCCTAGAGCCTCTTTTCCTCTCTCAAAACCATTCTGAGAGCCTGCCGTTGGATGGAGCCTCATCGTTCTCTGAATCAACTGGATTGGATCTCATTCACAGTTCTTGGACCTTCTGGACTCAAGGAGCAAAGACATGACACAGGTTGCATCCAGAACTGGAGACATCAGAGAAAAAGTGTTAGTCCAGAGTCTGGCTTTGGCACTGGTCTGGTCTTGACAGGGGCAGTAAAAGGAGTGGGAACATGTCAGGCTGGGCACTATGACCGCCCGCTTGGAGCCCGTGGAATGTGCTGTGCTCAGCCACACGTCCACCCAGAGCCCCTCTCATCCACTACCTGGACGTCACACACTTTGTGACTGTTCTTGCTGACTACACACGTGGAAGTGTGTTGGCATATTCTGGCTTTAGCAGTCAAGACATAGAGGTTAGTGAGATACTGAATTTCTTTCTTTCTAAAAAGAAATAACTGCTTACATAAACTAATATACTGTAAAAAGTGTCTTAATATTGAATAACATTGTTTTTAAGGTATCGGTCTTACAGTTTTGTCTGGTGGATGAAACACACACACAAAAAAAAAAAACTGAAGGAGGGGCCTGACTTGAATTTAGGGACCAGGATATACGAGATTTAAGGTTGAGTCACAGTTACCTTTGTATGACAAAATATATTCATCGCAATAGGAATCAGCATTTCACATTGGATTCAAGTTTGTTAAAATACAAACATGCTAATTTGCCATGTTGACCACTACCTAAGAAAACCCTAAAGTCTATTTGGCTCTCCAAAGCTGCATTTGTTTGATCAGAAGTACAAAAAAAAAAAAGTAGCATATTACAGTGAAATATTATTATAGATAATCCAAACACCCTATCAACAGCACAGCCACATACAAAAATCCACTTAAACCACTTAGTAACCACACTGCGACTGGTTAACCACTTAGAACACATTACATTAGCAATCACACCAATGTGTGCTACAAACCGCTTAAAGCACCTTTGCTACAACTCATCTGTTCACTAAAAACCACTTAGAACACTTTACATTATATTCGCTTAGATAAAACATAAGCTCTCTCTGTTTAATAGATCTTTAAACCATGTGGTCTCAGAAGAAATAGTCTGCTGCAACAAGTCTGCTGCCTAAGCTTTTGGACGCAGCCATATTTTTAGAAGAATGTATTTTTCTATCGGATTAGATCTGGTCAAACAGATCATATTGTCGATAATGTTAATTAACTTCAGTCCTGGGTAGCAAAACATACACTAAAAACATTGGATTAAAAACAACCCAATTTGTTATTTTTAACCGAAGTGCTGGGTGTATATATATATATATATATATACACACACACACACACACACACAACATTTTGGGTTAATTTTACCCAGCAAATTGGGTTTCTTTAACCCAGCTAATGGCCAGATTCATTTTTACTATAATACTAGCTTATTTTTTTTACTTCATACATTAATTTATGTTTACAGATTAACGTAAAACCTCTCAACCTTTGTAAAATACTCCACAACCAATGGTTTGCATGATAACGTCCTTTTATTTGGATCATTAACAGCATTGTTTATTGTTTTTAATACGTGGACTACCTAGATTTAAACTCGTTTAACAAACATTAGAAGTAAACATTCAATTCAACTGAAGTAATTCATGTGTAATCAACCAGTCTGTTATTTGGTTTCCACCGAAACGGCACTGGTTCTCGTGGCCGAGCTGGAACAGTGTTCAGTGGGGAACTGCGAACGGCTAGGACCATCGCCCAGCCGAAATATACTGTGACTGCCTCTACCTAAACATTGGGTTGTTACATTTGACCCAGTAGCTGGGTAACAAACTACCCAAACAAAACAATTTATTTCAGTGTACATACTTGCTCAATTATGCGTTGCAGGAACTATGAAAACATCCACTGAAATTGGGCTGAATTTGTTTTTTATAATTTACCTCATTGCACAACTTATTGAAGGCAGACTCCTTGACTGTTGCTGCGTGTCGATTCTAATGGTTTTTAATTTTTGCCCATCAATGGTGAGGGAGCTCCCATAGCATTGTTGAGAAGACTTACCAGGTAGCTCTGACTTTTAAAAATTGTGTTTATACCGTATGTACATAGAGCCCTGTTTCCCTTCCACCCCCATGGCACTTAAGCACATTGATTTTAAAGTTAATAATTGCTTCCATGAACTGCATATTTAGAGCTAAAATCAAAATTGTAGCTACTATAAAACCCAGGTACTGTTGGGCCAAATTGCCACGAAGTCAGAGATTTAGGGGAGAAAAAAAAAAAAATCTTGCTAATGTGAACACTTTTATTGGCACTTCGTCATTCAAAACACATCAGTGAGTAATCACAATGGGGCCGATGGTTGCTTTCCCTTCTGATACCAGGCCTGAAAACAAGTGACAAGGTGAGAAATCGAAGTACAAAAAAAAAAAAACCCAAACCCAATTGCTTTTAGGTTACCCGAATCAGACGGTGCTAGTCCCTTTCTGCCAAGACCACACATGGAGTCACAGCACATGCACACCTGGTCATTGTCGTCTACAGAAGTCCATCTATAGAAGGCAAACAAAACTGGTTACCCATTTTGAACACCTCATATACTAGACAAATGAAAATGGGGCAAAACAAAAATACCCATTTATGAAGGAGCAAGCCTTGTTCTCTGGACATGTGGGGGTTGAGGCCATGACAGCCTTTAGAGCAGGGGCGATGTACACCTACAGAATGACACATGATCAGTAAAACAACTCACCCACAGAACTACAGCCCAAATTACAATACCAAGCCACTATCATCTTGCTGGAATCTGAAAGCCTCCAACTGAAACTGCAGCTTGTCACGCTGAATACGACGCATGAAACTGGAAGTGGAGCCTGTAAGCTTTGCATCTACCAGGCACCTGAAGAGAAAGGGGGCGAGAGGGGGAAACAAAAAAAAACAAAACAAAAAAAAACACAACATATTTTAGGCTGTTTGCAACAGGGAGTTCGAGGAGCGGTTCTTTACTAACCCATGGTTCTCAATAAAGGAATATCTTGGAAAGGTGGTGTTCACATCAGGGGCCGCAGTAGCCACACAACCATCCACAAAGATGCGCAGAGGAACATGGTTGTACTGCTTCACAGAAGCTTCAAGCATTGCCCTAGGAAGTATTGATTGGATGGCCTCTCAAACATCCAGTCATCTGAAATGAAAGTCACAATGGCAACACTACCTAGTCACTTATAAACGTTATAACACTTAAATACATATTACCAGTCATGAGCCTCAAGGAGAACACCAGAACTTCCTCTGCAACTTTAGTTGCAGCAAAAGGAACCCAAGCGGGCAACAAGATATTGCTGCTTACATTATGCAACCTATTGGGATTAGTAAAAGACGATTAAGTGTCAGTTTGGTCAAACTTCTTGGACAAAGTAGTTTACTACCTTGAATAGTGGCACTGAATTCCAACAGCTGCTACATCAGCCCTTACAATGGGAGTTCCTACTAAAGCCACGGGAGTATAGAGGAGGTTGAATGTATACACAAGCTCATTACCAGTCATCTGAAAGCAGTATAAGTGGTGAATTATTGGACAGACCTAACTTTCACAAATTCTACAGTTGACCTATATGCAGCCACTCACCACCAGAGAGCGGTCACATGTCTGGAGCTCATACTCAAATATAAGAACTTCAGCTTCTGGATCCTCCCCTACAGCTGCACAGCCTCCTAAAGTGAGAAATGAAGGATTCACCAGTTGACCAGTACCAAAGATGTCCTTCTTAACCTCCACATGCACAAAGTTCTCTCCACATTGTGCTGCAACACTCTGGGGAGCTATAGGTACATGCGGCTCAAAAGGCACATCTGGCTGTTGGGGTTCTTCTGGCATTACTGGAAAATGCCAGGTCAAAGGTGCCATAGGAGCCTGCATAAGCTGTTTGGACTGACTACTTCCAGGTTCTTGAAGCTTCCGTGCATCCACCCCAGCAGGCCTCATTGCAGGTCTTGGAGGCCGAAAAGTTGTTGATGCCTGTGGATCTTGAACAGATTGCTGAGGAGCTAAAACTGGCGACTGCTGCTGTTGGAATCTTAGTGGATCCTGGCCTTGTTGAATTCTTGACCACTGTGCCAAACTCAAGTCAACTGCAATAAGCAACAACAATCCAACACAACTAAAAACCACCAGCCTCATTGTTAAAAAAAAAATCTGAAACCTTCAGAATAGCTACTGGTCTTCTCTGATGCCTGTTTCAAGAGCAGGAAGTTAAAATAGCTCCACCCCTTTTTGACAAGCTTAATGATTTTCCAGACCTGTTTCATTAAAGGTTTTGGATGCCCCAAACGAGTACAACCTAGATCCAGGTGGCTCACTTGTTTTGCTTCTGGATCAAACTGACCATTTGACATCAAGCAGTGAAACAAGAAAGTCCCTAAATAGTTTATTTTACAAAAGTAAACAAACATTTTCTTTAATTCAGACTTTGATAAATATAATCATAAAATCATAGTCCAGCAATATGCAAAATATGTTTTTGGTTTCTAAATGTTTCTTAAATAGTTAGTTTGATGCTCTTGGCAGCCAGTATTTCATTGCACAAAACGCCTTGTGGTTGGTACCAAGCAGCCTTGCTCCCAGGCCTTGTAAGCTTCACTACTCTTAAAAAGATTTGAAGTTCTGTATGTTGAAATGAGTATCCCATAGATACTAGGATGGCCTACTATTTCCAGGGGATGCTCAAAGTGCTAATGATCCATGTACACTTTGTGCATTTTAAATAAAAAAAAATATAAGTTTGCAGCTTTAATGTTGAAAATCTACTTAATTCAGTTCATGTTATATGGTCAGACAAAAATATTAAAACTGTAGGGTCATTAGTTGTCAACTGGCAGATCCAAATGTGAGTTTGCAGGCAACTGTAGAACAGAATAAGCCTGGCATAAGTCACCAGAGAGAACTGTCGTCTCACTGGAAGATATATTTGAGTGGTTTTCTTTAACGCATGCGATTATTTATTTTTCTTCAGTTTAACACGTTAAAAATATTTAACGCAATTAACGCAGGGTTGGCCACCCCACTCACTGCTACTTCTGTCTCTTTTTTCTTGACAAGAATTGTTTATTTAAACGCAGAACGTCTTTACGACTACATCAAATGGGAGATTTTACGCGCACTCCAACTTCACCTCAGTGCCAGGCGCTAGTCAAACGAGCGCGGAAAAGGTAAAGGTGATGAGGAACTTCAGTAGAACAACAGTGAACTGCGGTCAGATGAGATGTTGTCAGGCCATGTCAGTAAAAACAAATTTTTTCCTGTTCTGTCAGCCGTTATACTGTACTCGTAGCAATCATGCCATTGTGTGCTACAAATCGCTCAGAGCACCTTTGCTACAACACATCTGTGCACTGAATACAGTAGCAACTGCATAGTGGCATGCTAAAAAGAACACCTTGTGTCTGCACAATGTTGTGTTAAACACCACTCAGACCACTTTAGAAACCACATGGCAACACGTTAAAAAAATTCAAACACCTTTAGCGACCACATAACAATGTGCTAAAAACCCATTCAGATGAATATCTTGCATCGTGGTGCCAATTCACTTTTGCATGGGCAAGCAGCACTCTTTCTTCAGAAAGTGTAGAAATACAGTACAAATCTACAAATCGTTATTGGAGTGATTATTTTTAATTCACTATGCACAATCAGCTTGTAACACTCCAAAGAGAAAGGAAAACTTGAAATCGCATCATATGACCCCTTTAAATGATTTTAAATTTATTTGTGCACACGCAGCTTTACAGAAAATCATGACGTTAATGTTAATAAAAATGCCATATAGTTGCATTTAGTACTACAGTTTACATTTTGTGATCATGCAGGCATTTAAGCCGTTGAGATTTTCTATATATAATATATTAATCGGAGTGTACGTCATGTATCTGGGTAAGATGTCTTAATTGTAACCATCTCCAAGAAATTTAGTAGGTATACATCACAATTTAGACATTTAAAGATCAATACAAACAATGCTGCTTCTCATCTGACAGTAGGTGACAGTGACAGCAGCATTGACAGTGGAAGTAAATGAGTCGTTTCTACTCAAATGAGTCTGTGACTGTGGAGAAGCAGTGATGGTGCAGGGTTGTGCAGATGTGCTTCCATCACCGGCTGGAACAAGCAGTCCTCTTTGTTTAATGACAGATATACAGCCTCTGCCCCTGTGCCATTGCTTTGTGGACCGCTATTGTGAGATGCTCTTTCATTACTGAACCTGTTCACCTCAGATTTTAAGATGTTTAAAAAGCTCAAATAAACTAATTTAGGTTTATTGGTTGTATAAAATGTAATCTAAATGTAGATAAGAAAATTAAACAACTTTGTATTAAATGTAAAGCTTTATATATAGGGACTTTATATATAGGGACAAATGTAAGACCATTTTTATTTACTGCATACTTTTTTACTTTATATTTTGATTTACTGCAATTTTATGAGGAAAACATACAACACACACAACACAAACAAACACATCCTGGATAATCAAAGCTCTCAATATCTTGTTTTGCTGATGTGAGAGTTTAAACTGAACTTAATAAGTACAATGAAAAAATCAATAGGTAAATACAGAGTCCGAAACGAAACCTTTGCCACCCATGAAAGAAAGCTGCATTGAGAAAATTGATAAACTATAAATATTTTGAACTAAAAATGAAATTGTATTTTGCATCATTTTATTAAAATGAAACAAAATTATTTACAAACTAATATAAAATTAACATAATGATTTTTTCCCATTGTGTATTGGTACACCGGTCAAAAAAAAAACAAACATTCGTAAACATTGTGACATAGTTCCTCATAAACAGTATTTGTTTTGGTGGCTTATGCAAGGGATATTTCATGACATGTCACCACGTGGTTAAAAACAATAAATAAACAAATAAATGTTATTCATGCTAGACAAACTTTGGATGGTAAATTTGTCACTGAGACTGTGCAAGTCATGACAGATATTTTTTTTCACAACACTACAGATAAGAAAGGTTCAGATTACACTGTAAAAAAAAATCTGTGACATTTACGGTAAAATACCGGCAGCTGACATCAAATATGAATTGTCATGCAGGGAATTCTGGGAGTGTCAATTTACGTTTTTTTCACTGTAAATTATACAATGCCTTATTCTTTTTCACTTCCAAAAACCGTATTTTTAACAGTATTTTACTGTAGAATCACATTAAATGTAATTACATTTATTCACCGAATATAGTATGGAAACTTACTGTTAACCAGTTAACAGGTTTTTACTGTAGCATTTTTACGGTCTTTTACTGTTAAAATCACAATCATTTTTTAAAACATGTAATCTTGTAACTCTTAATAAAACTACCATCTGACTGGTGAGTATTTGTTCTATTTACTCACCAAAGTCATTTTTACCTTCATTTGGTGTTTAGTAACTGCTAAATAATAAAATGTTTTATAGTCAATAATCTATATTTTTTCCCCATCAACTTTTTCAACAGCTGATTCTTTAGCTTGAAAATTGAGTTTAAATCTTTAGTTTAAGCTTTAATAAGTGCATCTAAATTACAGATTATATGATGACCATAAAAAGAAAGGAAGCATTTATGTGCAGCAACACGTGAGTTGTGGTGAGTGAAAAACATCCCCCTGAGAAAAGTACATTTCCATTTTCTCTTCCCACGCTCTGCAAACAGCTAGAGGCTAAACATGCTGCTAGTACACATGCTCAGTCCTGTGACTCAGCGAAGGAGACTCAGTCACTCTGCGCACATTACAGACTCTAAACATTTCTAAACTAAACATAAAAAAAAAATAAAAAAAAATGTATGTATGAGAAATTTCAAGGATTTATTTCTGCAGTGTCACATTTACTATAAGGCCGCTTGTTTGTTGAATGACACAATGACGCAAACATTTTAAAATTCAGTGTATAACATTATAATACTCTGATGCTGTGCCCTTTGTACAGTATGCACTGTGCTCAGATGTGAGGAATGAGACAAATAAATAGTTCACTGACATTGGTAGCATGAACACATTAATTGTATTGTTTTTGAGGGTACACACACACAGTAGAAAGCATAATCATATAGACTACTTTATGATTTATTTCCTATGAGATACTTTACTGAAGTATAGACAAGATTCATTTACATGATTTGTCTCTGTCCACATACAGTGACATAAAACAAAATGATACTTAAAAAGGTACATCAAATTATTGGGCATTCTGAGTCAAATCATGATATGAATTATTATGCACTGCTGCAGTTTGCATACACTTTCCCTGCATTATGTCATTATGATGTAGTTGTTAGTATAAAATTGATGCATTGTCAAAATAGAATATCTCCTTTTTTACAGGCAATACATCTAATTTGTTATCAGATCTTCAAAAGCCAGTTGTGCAGCAACACTAGAGAATCCAGCACTAAGAACACCTACTAGTAAATAACAATGCGGTGACCTCCAGCGATAAAATCGCTGCCAGTGTGAACACGGCATTACACAAGATTTAAACATAAATGTTTATTGTAGGTTATACTTGAAGAACTGCCTTTGTCCATTTAGCAGCTTTCTCTGACAGCAGCAGAAATAGCGACAGAGAATGTTTCTTTGTAGCAGCCCTGTATGCAATTTCCTCCTTTGCTACTTATCAAAAATGAATTACACCAGTAACCTATTTCTACTGGCCTTATGATAGTGCAGCCATAGATAATTGCCTGCCACATGTAATAAGAATTGATTTCCAGTTGCACATTGTGTTTTTATGCTGCAAAAAAAGTATTATCTTCATCACCTCTCCTTGCATTTTACCTTGCATGACATTCCCTATACTCTGTGTTCTCTGACTGAATGACCTTCAAGTGAGGAGTCCAGCGGTACAGTGATTACTGATCACATCCAGTCACTCACAATGGGAAGGAGTGGGGGTTCTTTTATAGGACACTGAAAAGCTTTCAGACTTGTGCTGGGTTGCCAAGGAGATGCTATTTAAAAAGAACGAGGCAGTTTTACAGTAGTTTTTGCTTGTTTTTACAGCAATTCTCTTTTCTTTCTCTTTTCTTCAGCAGCTAGAGGAAATCTCTCCAGAACTGCTTGACACACCATAGCGCTCCAGTGGAAGGGTAAGTAAAGGTTTTTGTTTGTTCTGAGATGAATGAAACAGAATGCACTCTCACAATGCACTTGTCTTGATCAATTCATGAGATTCATCACCGTTTGAAGGACAACAAAAGATAGGAGTAATTTTCAATCCCTTTCTAATTTCCAAGATGTCAAATGGTTTGCACAGATAAGGAAAAAAATCAATTAACTCAGACAAAACAGGCCCAGATAATTGGCTAAATTTCTACCTTACAGCGGTTATGTGCCGTTTTTATGCATTCTTGTAACAGCATCATCCATGCCAAAGGGTGTTCCTGCAGCGGCGAAGTCAAAAAAACAATTAGCCTTTCAACAACGCTTCAAAGTCACTTCCCCCCAAAACGCTGACTGGTTCAGGGTGCACTAAAACATAAACATCCCAAATGAGTATAGGGGGGAAAAAATTGCGGCTTTCCCTTTCAGTCATCAGACCCCGTGCCTCATCTGTCAGACCGTCACGCTTGTTTGCTCAGTTCAATTCTCATTCCGTTTTTATCGCAGCCTTGCGGAGCCAGTGCGGAGGAATTATCTGCTGTCAGGTCCTGCGCCGGGCTGATAGGGAAACGCAGCGCACCGAGGGCCACTGCAAGGTGAGAGGGACGGCTGCAGGGGGAAGGGAACGAAAAGTCAGGGACCGATGATGCCGTCTTCCACCATGCAAATGTTTGCATTCATTCTGGCGGTACTGGGAGTCGTGAGTGCCACGGTGGCCACACTGCTACCCAACTGGAAGGTGAGTGCAGATGTGGGCTCCAACATCATGACTGCCATCTCGCAGATGCAGGGACTGTGGATGGACTGCACCTGGTACAGCACTGGAGTCTTCAGCTGCTCGCTTAAGTACTCGGTGCTGGCGTTGCCGGCTTATCTCCAGACTGCACGCACCACTATGGTGCTTTCCTGCATGATGGCGACAATGGGACTCTGTCTGGCCGCCCTAGGGCTGAAATGTACTCGCTGGGGTGGCAGTTATCGCTCGAAGGGACATACGGCGATTTCTGCAGGGGCTTGCTTCGTCATAGCCGGGGTCCTGTGTCTGGTGCCTGCATCCTGGTTCACCAATGATGTCATCACTACGTTTATGGACTCCAAAGTGCCTAAAAGCAGCAAGTACGAGCCAGGAGCAGCGGTGTACGTGGCATTTGTGTCGGCAGGATTCCTTTTAGCCGCAGGCGTAATCTTTTGCTTATCGTGTCCTGGAAGAAGAGGCGGTCCATTGGATTCGGGCTCGTCCCACCCCGACAAGCCAAAGCAGCAGAAGCTGCGCCAGGAGCAGCCGACCCGCGACCAACAAAAACAGCAGCTCTGCGAACAGCAGAGCCAGACTGAACCGCCGGAACAAGAGCAGTCGCATCGAGATAAACTGCAACAGGAAAAGCTACAAGCGGACGATCGTCGGCAAGAGAAGTCGGTGCCGGACAGGTTGAACCTGGAGAATGACAAGCAGTACCACTCTCCATCCCGAGCCCGAAATCAAGATGCCAAGGCCGTCTATAGTCTGCACGACTACGTGTAAACAACAGTCATCGAGCATTTAGGGTTTATTTGCTTATAAGACTGCCTTTCTTTGTGAGCGGGATAAAGAGGAGGGGAAAAGCAGTGGAGCAGCAGGAGGAATAATGACTTTGATGCCGTTATCAACCCTTCTCATCTGTGCTTTCGCTTACAGCAAGCGAAGCATTGGAGGTATTTCCAAAGCCCCGGAACAGACAAAGTAAGGATTGTGAATCCTCGGGTTCACGGTTTTTATTGCAACTACAAGTACAAAGAGGGGCCAAATGGTGGCGCATCATAAAACTGCAACATAAGAAAGGGGAATTTCTTAAGATAGTAATGTTAGGAAAGTTCTGAAGGTGCATTGGTTTGAAAAAAATTGAGCATTTTATTGTCGTCCCATGATTTCATTACCTAGTCAAGCTAAAATGCAAACTCTCGACAGTCCTATTACAAGCAATTTTATCAGCCTTTTGGTAACTGGAATCATGTGTGATTAGCAAGTTTTAATTCAGAAGCTTGTAGATTACACATTAGGCAGTATATGCATGCTGTTTGTAGATAATGTTGTTAATAATGCCGCAAAAATGCTTGCAGTTGAAAGTACAGAGCGGATAATCAAGCTTGCACCTGAGGATGTCTCACCCCATCAGCTGTCCATTAAATGGTGCGTGTCCTTCAGAAAAGGGATTTTGACATGTCCAGTCCATATTTTTCAAAGAATGGTGATGAGGGGGAGGCACAGCAGCAGAGATCGACTGAGGTAATGATGCTCTTTGCTTTTCCATTAGGTACGCTACGGATGGGTGCACAGTGCTCATTTTTTTGCGAGCAGGCACAGATACACCAACACACACACATAAGCTTTTCTTCCCTCCCTCGAACTCCTACTAGAAGGGTAATGGGGGCTTGCACCCAATCATCATGATGCTGTGCGTCAGTGTGTCGTGCCTGCAGGAAGTGCAGTTGGTCCTGTTCTAGGGCAAACAGGACGCAGTAACACGCTGTTCACACTTTTGTCGAAAAGTAGAACCAAGGTGACAGAAATCTCAGCGGTGGCTTCGGACTCCCCCGCTGGGCAGCAATTACACCTTTGGTGTACATCTCAATTCGGTCAAACCATCTGCAGTATTTTCTGATTGCTGTGCTGTTTCCGCTTGCAGTCAAGCCATTGAATGTTTTTTTCAAAGAGCCAGTGGAAGACAGCAATGTATGGTATAATGTACCACATTTGACTCAAGCTAATACTAAGTGTCATTGTCAGTGTCGTTTCCGTCGTAACGATGGTCAAGGGCTCCTATTGTCTCCAGAGAGACGCCACAGCAAGACATTTTCTGCCTTTCATTTCTGTCTCACATTTAAGCACACATACCACTCTTTGTGTTTGATACGCATGTACAAAATGCCTTAGAAACTGACACAATGGCTGAGAGTAACAATGAAAGAGAACAACAAAACCATTTTCTAAGCAAAGTGCCAATGGACCACGTCTTACTTTATGTGCATGTACTGTAAGCTTGATATAGTCATTGGGTCCAATAATCTGAGATCTAAATTTCTGATTACTTATCACTTATCCAGAAATAGTGCCGAATAAATGGTCCTTCTTGGGTTTTTTTTTTCATTTTAAATGTTTCAAAGTCTTCAATGACAAAAAAAAATACAAATACAAATAAAAAATCTCAGATTTCCATTATGGTCTCAGACTTTTGGACTGCAATGTAAATGTTCACATTGAAGTTGAACGTGGCCCAAATCTAATTATCATCATGTGACATACATGGGTTTGTATATATATAACTGTTGTATAATTATCACACTGATTCAGACATTTTCAGCTCCTCTTTTGCCTATTTTTTGAATGTGAACAGAATTTTTTTTTTCAAAGTGATTCTGTTGTGAAAAGATTGAAATTGTGATTCTTGTCATTTTTAATCTAACACAACATTTAGATTTTATTTTTTATCTTATAAGTTATTTTATCAGCCTTTGCTGTGAATAATAAAATAATTGATTTCATTATATAAAGTAATATACAGAAGAGTGCAAAATATTTTTTTTAAATATATGTTGATGTTAATAGAAATCACAACTCTTCTAATGTCCTATTAAAGCAAAATATGATATATTCATTTTTTATTATGAAATGTGTTGACGCTTTGATGAACATGCCAGTGAAAGGTGTTTTCCACATGTGGATCAGTTTAGGAGTCACCTGTAAAAAAGGACCCAGTCCAGATCACATTTAAAAAGTCATGTGAAAAACTGCACAAAAAAAATCAGAATTGGGTTTGGTTTGTTGTGTGAACAGCCCCAGAAGTCTGTTCATATCAGCACATGTACATTATTTCTGAGAGACAGTGATGGAGAAATACTTGCTATCTATTGCTAAAAACTCTTCTTCTATCATGACACAGCGAATGTTGACTATTGAATGTTGCTTTGTGTTAAATTTGCCATTTTGAATTCTCTGTTTGGCTTGACAAAATAAGGGCTTCATTTAGTGAATTTATAAACTGACGTGTGGCCAGTAATGATGTGAAACTATAAAATCCAATTAAAGCACACGCCTGTACAATACAGCAGAACATGTAAGTTTGTTCTTATCATGTACTGATTGTGGAAAACAAGTGTAACACCACCTTCTGTTCTCTAATTTCTATTCTAATGCTCACATCAATGACTTTTTGTACAACTGGCTCTTCTATTTCACATCATTCCCTCTTTGTTGTGAGTTCGTGATCTGACTGCAAACGGCTCTTCACAATGGGGGTGTGTGGTACGAGGTGTCTTGGTTGGCTGCGTCGGCCAGGAGTCAGGCCCGTCCAAATGGGAATCTGCATACTCCTCCGTGAGTGAAACCAAGCATCAAATAAGCTCCATTTACACAGCTGACTGCCCTTCACACAGTGCAGCCACTTTTTCACTAAGCATTCATGATTAAGCCAGGGACACTTCACATACCCCCTCTTACTGATCAGACTAAGGTTAAATCAGCTGTCATATTCATCTGCTTTACATGTGCTTTGTTTACACAGATGGAGACACTGTTTATTCTCGAGCACGACACTGAAAATGATTCAACAATTCAAATGCTGAGAGTAAGAGACTCATCAAAAGAACAGAAGCCGTGCCGCATTGTGTTCATGAGCTCTTGGGATCAGCAATAGTGACATATTCATGTTCCTCATATATGTCTTTATTCTTCTTACATGGCACTTTCCATGAATGCAGTGAAGTTTGGTGTTTCATACATTAAAAAGAAGAAAAAAAAACTGATCACAAATCAAAATGTAACCTTAAAGCCACATATCTCATATTTGATATGCGTTTTTCTAGGACCATAATTATTATTATATAATTATTAGGACCATAATTATGTCGCAATGCAAAAGTCTTTTTGCTTAGATAATTTCAAAATGAATATTTAATTGATTTAAGCAACTCACTTACCATTTTATACATTATTTATTTAAAATTCTTAACATGTGTGCATTAAATATAATACAGCAGGTATTTTTTATTATTTAAATCATCATTTTACTGCATTGAATCATGATGTATTGTGCTCACCACAATAAAAGTGATCATCAAATCATTTAATAATTAACTTAATTAAATTTAAATATTATTTTACTAAGAAAATTTTGGAGTATGAAGGGATATTTATAATTACATTTGAATACATCCATCCTGCTCTATTATTTTTAAAATCTTGTTGTTTTCACTGTCTGTTTTATATACATTGTGTGAGTGTGTGTGTGTGTGTGTGTGTGTGTGTGTGTGTGTGTGTGTGTGTGTGTGTGTTTGTGTGTGTGTGTGTGTGTGTGTGTACACACATAAGCACAACTGTTTTGAGTACCATCAAAGTAAAAGGTTCCTTTATGAAAAAAGTATATACAGTATATATATATATAAACAGAGATGTTTGAAATGTTTCAAAGGTTATAAATGAAAAAGAATAAAAAAAATAGCTGAGATCAGTTTTTTTTATGTCTAAATGTTTGATTGAAACATCAATAGTTCAATCAGTAGTTTAATTACTGAATTGAATGGTCTTTGTGTCTGGTCTGAATGGTCTGAATTGAATTGTATTGAATTATCTATTTATTTATTGTCAATTTTATTTATATTTATTGCAAAAAAAAAAAAAAAAAAAACTTTAGGGCAACCAATATGAACTTATCATGAAACAATGCAAACACAAGCTATTTGTAAGATATGAAGATCATTTAATTAGTGACCTCTGCTGTGAACAGTTGAGCTCACCCACTGCCAAACCTCCTAAAGCGCAGTTATTTCAGACGGGCTGCATATGAGAACTGCTCCTGCGAGGCTTCTCCATCTGTCTCACATAATGAGCTAAATGATCTAACATATTTAAAAGGGGTCACTTTGCAGGTGTGCCATGTTGACGTGGTGTATTTTTAGTGCTCAACTTGACATTTTGACAAATGGAGTTTGACTTCCCTGCAGGCAATAACAGAATCAATTCCTGCGTGTATTCTGCCACCATATGACCATCCCCCCCCCTTTTTTCATCTATTGCTTTATTGCTATGGGCAAGAACTAACACCAAAAACTAAAACGGATGAGAATGAGTCTAGAACAGAAATTATATTTTGAACTACAGTATTTGAAACCAACATAAATAACCACCGTGACAAGAAGCCCCTCTTATCTGCATAGGTTGTATAAAATATAACTGACTACATACGGTACATACTTGTGTATCACAATGCACATGTTTTTGCTGGTTGTTCCTGCAGGTAAGTTGTTTTTTATCTCTCAAAGATTAAGCCATGCAGGTGCAAGTGCTTACAGCAAGTACACTGAAGCTGCAAATGGTTCATTAAATCAGTAAGAGACGATAGACCATAAAATATCAATACATTCAAGAGGACCAATCCTCAAATTAAAATATCAATCCTAGGTTTTAACTAGTGAATTTTTTTTGGCATCAAAATGAATGCATAAAAAGTTCAAGTACAACAAATGGCTGCAATATAACAAAGAGTGAAAAATTTAAGGGGGTCTGAATACTTTCCATACCCACTGTATATATATATATTCAAAATACAATATACATCAATCAGGCATATTATGACCACCTTCCTAATATTGTGTTGGTCCCCCTTTTGCTGCCAAAATAGCCCTGACCCGTCGAGGCTGGGACTCCACTAGACCACTGAAGGTTTTTTTTTGGCATCAAAATGAATGCATAAAAAGTTCAAGTACAACTATTTATTTATTAATTTATTAGAATTCAAATAATTTGCATTGATTTTAAACCTATAAAACCTATATATAAA